TATAAGGCTTATTATTTCAGCTTCTGCTATCACTCTGTTCTAGCACAAAATGACAAGACTCTAAGTGACCTGTCCTTCTCTGGAATGAAAAATAATTTAAAAAATTATCTTACCCTATTATTTTGTATATATATATGAGCACATACATACGTACAATATTTACATATATTTTTCTTTTTTTTTTTTCTGTTAGGAAATTTCTACAACGCCAAGCTGATTCTCATCCAAAGGTTTCTTTTTGTCTCACTTACTTTAGAACTTCAAAAACCTTCGATGACTGTATTCCTGGTTCTGCAAGGCAGCTATACAGAAATCATGTCCTGCAGTTACCTTCTTAATTGTTCTGAAGAGTTTTTGTTTTGGGACTGAAATCAGTCACAGGTTTTCCCTGAAGAATATTTTAGATGAAAGTTGATGTTTTCTTACTTTAAATATTTGTGCCAATGCACTTTCATGCCGTTTCAGAAATTCACATGATTGAGTTTTAGTACAAAGCTAAGTAGAAGCAAAGTATTTCAGAAAGATCAAAACATACCATTCTAATATTTTTTAAAAAGATACCTTTTTTTTGATAGCTTTGCAACACATTTCAAAAGGGCTTATATTACCCAAAAGCTTTGAAAATTTTAAAAGATAAAATCAAACCAAAACACAAATTTTGTCAAAATGATACCTTTTGATTGAATCAAAATTGCTTTCCCCACATTGTACAGGAAGTTTTCATTCCATTTCAGAAGGCAAAAAAAATCTCAGAATCCCAGCTTTCTCTAAAATGGAAAATGTGTTTTTTACCTACCTTTACCCTACCCTGTTTATGCAGACCAGGGTTATGAGAGGAAACCTTTGAAAGTGTATCAAGCTATGAGCTTTTGCCCTTCATTCCTGGTAGAATTATACAAGCTGCCTCTTTCAAAATTCCCCATTTGGCTTTATATCATAGAGCCTTTTAATTTTCCCAACAGTAGTTCCTCATACTTCTGTGGCTAAAATGTGAGTTTATTCAGCCCTAGTTTGGATAATGCGCATGATTGAAACCTCTTTGGTCTTCTGCAGAAATTTGGCTCACGAGCCCAGAGCAAGCAGAAGGAACGCTGTGCTCTTCTGCATGGCTTCTGTGCAGACCAGCAAAATGAACGGAACATACCAATCACAGGGTTTTGTGGCCACGCTACAAGCATAATCTGCCCCTAGGGCCCCAGGTATCACAGCTCCTATTCACCTGGTGAATCTCTAGAACTTGTGGAAACACTTTGGACTCAAAGCATATAAATTACCTAGTTCTCTCATATCTGTGAAAAACTTACTCATTAAAACTTCTAAAGTTTAACAGTGCTGTCAAGCGTTCACAGAATGCTTTGCATTAATGGAAAATCTAGCGTAGAAAGGAACAATGGCCTGTTTTATGAAAATGAAATATTCAGAATGTAGAAAATTTGTTATTATTGATGGACCAATACAGCTGATTGAGTCAGTAGAGGTAAAGATAAAGTTGATGTCCCTTGAATTATAACTTCTGGAGTGTCACATACGGAAGTGTACCTAGATTGAAGCAATGCAAGCCAACACTGCAAAAATATGTCTGTATGGCACATTTACTGATGGCAATTTCAGTTTTTTGGGGTGTTGCAGCAAGATACGACTTAAGGTAAATTCTGTGGCTTCTCTGAGTTTTGGTCTCCTTTCTCTGATTTTTATTTGCAAGTTCAGGGCCAGCTTGACTACCAAGAAGGAGATCTCTCTTTAATATATATCCTAAATAACGTGCTGTTTTGGCTTTGCACAAATCCTCTGTGGTTCAGATAACATTTCTCCTTTCCCTTTCCCTTCTTCCTCCTATTGCTCAGTTATGCCTAGGCCACGGATTCTGCTCTGTACCTCAATGGTTGGCAGTAATTTGAGGATAACTCGAAATGCATCTGTATGGTGAAGCACAATGCAGAGAACTAAGAAAGAAAAAGGGCTCACAGCACAACACTGTCCAGACTGGCAAATCGAGGTCTGGGAGCAGTAAAACTGCATTGAAACAGCTGTTGTTCTACAGGGATTCAAGATACTGAAGTAAGTTGGAGAAACAGTAGAACCTGCAATAAGGAATGCAAAAAGATATATGGATAAATATCACGTTGAGGGGCAGACTTAGCATGGCTTTTCTGAAAGGAAATCCTGACCTGCCTACCTAGAAACTTCTTTGAAGGATTCAGTGAACATGCAGACAGTAGATGTGCAGTTGATATGGTCTGCTTGGATTTCCAAAGGACTTGACAAGGTCCCTTACCAAAGGCTCATAGGAAATAAAGTCCTATAAGGAAAGTGCTTTTATGGTTACTTTCATTAATTGGTTAAAAGATAAGAAACAGAAGAGAGCAATGGAGAAGACGGTAGGGAAATGGAGGTAAACAAGAAAGGACAGAGTTTGCTGATGAGATTAGTACCTTCAGGGTAATGGTGTTAAACAATTCAGCCAAACTAGAGCTATCCGCAAAGAGTTGCAGAAGGACCTTATGAAATTGAGCACACAGTTGTCAAAATAATATAATAATGTATGCAAGTATAAAAAGATACACATGGCAAAAAAATGCTAAATTTATGTAAACAGTGATGTGTAACGTATGACTTGTTACCTTTCAGGAGAGAAATCTTGGAATTAGATAGTTTGTAAAAATATCAGTTCAGTTTAGTGCTCAGGAACAGTCAAATTAGGAAACAGAACAGCAGGTGTTATTAGGAAAAGAAACAGAGGGGAAAAAGCAATTGAAAGTAAATACGTCAACCTGCGTTTTGAGAGTTTTGTGTAGTTCATGTCCCCATCCTAAATCAAGGATGGTCAAGCATATTGAACTGCTTTTATATTAAGACTAAAAAGGTTAGGACTCTACATCTGGAAAAAGGAGATGGCTGACAGAGGATTCAACAGTAGTCTGTAAAATCACAAATGACAGAGAGGGGATGAACGTTTTGATCTTCGTTTCTGTTTATAGTCTCACAATATCAGAAGAAGGGAGCATGATGTGGCATTTTCAAGTGGCGAGTATTTTTCCACAGAACAAGAGCTAAATTGTGGAACTCATTAGCACAACATCTTATAGCTGCCAAATTTTACATGGGTTCAAGGAACAATTAAATTAATAGAAAAAAAATCCATTAAGCCTAAAGAATCCATCTTTCAGGAAATTGCTGTGGCACAAACCCCTTGAGGCTAAAAGACCGTTCAGGAAAGTGCCCCTACATGCTTGTTCTGTTCTTGTAACTCCTCCATAGCCATCGTTGTCTCCTCTCAGAGACAGGATATTGAATTAAATGGACCTTTGGCCTGCCCCAGCATGGTTGTTCCTATGTTGTGGTTGTAATCTGAAGATAATTCATTGTGAATGGATTGAATTACTCCCATGAGCGCTGAGGAGTAGCTCACTGATGATGAATTGTATCTGTCCGGTGCTTCTTTGCTGCCTTCTCTTCCTTCCTGTTTTTTGCTCCATCTTTCCTCTCTCCTAAATAGCCACTAAAACTTTATTGTTCACATGAACTTTTATTTTGGGCAGCGTTGTTTACCTGTGTTTCTTTGGAATCCAAACGTTTGTAATTCCATTAAATAGCACTTTCTTACCTGGCTGAAGAGTGGCAGGAACAGATATTTGCTTATGTTTATGTAACCAATGTCTGGCACTATATGAGAGAGAATAATTCATGTACGTTGTGCAAAGCAGAACCTGACACTTGACAGTAGCGTTGAGATGAAACAGCTTTGTACAACTGCTCTCACACAGATCAGAAGGGGAAAACGTTTACGAAAACAGGAGTAAAGGAAGAAAAGACTTAACCGTAAAATCAGTAAAGATGAAAGTAAGCACATTGGGAACATTACATTGTGGTTACACTGGGGTTTTCTCTTAAAAATTCACAGTTTTGTAGTGCTATTACTGTACAGTTTGACTGGCAGCAGCACTGGTAGAAGTAAGAGAGTAGACCGGCCTCTGGTGTTTATTCCCTTGTCTCAGGTGCTCATCACCTTGTCTTCAGGTGCTCATCACCTGCCTGCCAGATACTTATGCACAGAAATCAGATACGCGGTAGTCCACGCCAGCCGGCCGTGACGGCCACCTGGGGCACGAAGAGCTGTGAAGGTGTAGTAGCTCCATGGACTTCAGGGTGGCCTAGGTTAGCAGGGGGGAGGACCATTGTGAAACATCTGGCAGTCCCAGCTGGCTGCAACTAAAACGGGTTGTGCGGGCCCCGTCTGGCTTCCTTGCCGGTGCTGGAGAACTTAGCACAAGTTGTGCAGGTCGTGGGGGAAGGCGGAAGGCCGGGGGAAAGCCTGCCTTGCAGAGAGCGAGCCGAAGGGCTTGCTAGCGATGGGAGGGATAAACCGCGAGGTGTTTGGTGTGTCAGACAACTTGGAGGCGCGAGAAGGAGGAAATGACTCAGAGACTGAAAATGATGAGTTTCTTAATACTCGTTAAGGGCGAGGGGTGAGAAGAACGTGTTATCCTCAGGATAAATTACAGTAAAAGCATTTAATTGTCTCTGCTTGGTAGGTGCAGCGCACGCCGCGGGGCCATTTTAGGGGCGAGCCGACCCTCGCCAGCCGCCC